GCGGTCTTAGATGCTATGCAACCCTGGAACAATGTGCGCAAAAGCATTTTTTGGCCTCACGCCGCCTAACCGCACACCTAGTGTCGCCACACAAAACGCAGTAGCGCTCTTCTTGTTTGTGAACCCGGTCCCTGTTTGCCTTTCTTTCTACCGTTCGTTCGCAGCAGCTTGAACGACAACTTTTACACAGCGACTAACCGGTAGATTTCATGTCTCCGGTGCACTGTGGTCTTATAGCTCAATACTTCAGTTTCACTCTGGAGCTAACCTATCTTCTCGGCTGCAAAGTGCACTTGCTTATAAAGCGAACCCTCGCCTCAAATACTTCGGTTATTGTTCTTGGTTGCATTGGACTGCAAGCAGTTTCATGAGCACTATCTGACTTCGTGTCATGTAATTACTAGCAAATTTATCAGTGGTTAGTTTCATCATTGTCACATTGCCAAGATTAGACTGTGCAAGAAAGACAAAACTATTGCTAGTGCGTAGACATCTTCCACGCGCATCGTTGTGCGCCTCCGCAATCCTGCAAGCAGACGCCCCGTCAAAAATGGGTAATCAAACGAAGGTACTAATGCCGTTGAAGTACTTCTTCTAGAAACTGCAAATAGCGAAGGATAAAGCTACATAGGATCTCACTGGAAACCATACCTTAGGCTATCCCTGGTGAAAATGTTATAGTGGGCTGCCTCTTGGGGCCTGACGATCAACTTGAACAAGTGTTCTCTCTTGCACATGGGGTATGACGGTTCGCCGGGGTACGAAATCAATGGGGCTCTTCTGGAAGGCTCAGTAAGCCCTAAGAACTTGGAGTTTTGTTACAGGCTGACTTGAAATTTTCCTCACAAATTGAGCATAAAAGAGTATTCGCTACGCCTCTCTTAATCTTTCGAAACACTCAACTCACAAGGGAATGGTTTGAACTTCCCATGGAACTTTGAATGGAGACCTAGGTACATCGATAGAGCCTCGAATGCTGATTACGAATATGCAGATTAAAAGTGCTACGGGGACCTCCCAGACGAGATCTGGGTGGTCAAAGTTTGCGAAAAGCCAGTTTTGGCTCGTAAGCGCTGCTGATCGATGCTTCGGCAGTGCCACCGTGGCCTCGTGGTAATGGTCTCGCTTTCAAGTCAGACGCGGGTTTGCATCCGGTTGGCGCGAAAATTTTTGCTTCGCTCCGTATAAGAGCTTCAACTCTAATTTTCGAAATTCTTCCGAATTTACGGCCCAGCAGGGCAAGTAGATCAAGTACATCAAGTATATGACGTACTCGATCTAGTATGGATTTGGTTTGCCCTCTCTGAACAGGTTACCCGTTACCCATCCGACAATTCAAAATTTCATGGGAGATTTCGACCCCCTGAACACGAATATCACATCCTTCGACGAAAAAACGCTCGTCTGGCCAAATTGCGATTCTGGGCAAAACTCGTAACCTGTTCAGAGAGGGCAGATATGACCAAATCCATACTAGATCGAGTACGTCGTATACTTGATGTACTTGATCTACTTGCCCTGCTGGGCCGTAAATTCGGAAGAATTTCGAAAATTAGAGTTGAAGCTCTTATAGGGAGCGAAGCAAAAATTTTCGCGCCAACCGGATGCAAACCCGCATGCGTTTGACTTTTGTTCGTTCCGTATGAACGAGACCATTACCACGAGGCCACGGTGGCACTGCCGAGGCATCGATCAGCAGCGCTTACGAGCCAGAACTCAAACTTTGACCACCCAGATCTCGTCTGGGAGGTCCCCGTAGCACTTTTAATCTGCATATTCGTAATCAGCATTCGAGGCTCTATCGATGTACCTAGGTCTCCATTCAAAGTTCCATGGGAAGTTCAAACCATTCCCTTGTCAGAGAAGCGAAATGCTGATCCGATTGTGTAATGCATACGTCTTACCACACGTGAAACTGCTGTTCTCAAAATTATAATCCCTCCTTGAAGAGAAATATTTCCAAAGTGGAAAAGTTGCAGCAGACTTTTACAAGACTGGTGTATCTTGCAAGGGAGGTGTTTCAGGTCATGGCGCGCTTTTTGGAAATGGTTTGTTGCTTGTTGTAGGGGTCCATACAAGGGTCACAAAAATGGGTTTCATTTTTGCTATGCGTTTCTGGGTAGGTCAAAAACTGAGTGAAAAGAATTTGACAAGAATGGGCGGTTTTAACAACCTTAATGGGCTCCTTTCTGCTTGTAACTTCGAGCATGCATAGTTTATGAGGTGGTCACTAATTAGGCCTCAAAATAGATTCGATTAAAGTCAAAATGTAAGTATCATGTGGTAACACACTTGGCATGCATCGACGCAAGAGTGATGTTTTTGTCAGCGAACCCTTCACGACCACTGCCATCGCAGTGGATAACACGACGGGTTCTGGATGGCACGGCAAGGGGGAGACTTTGTGGATCGGATCCTCCTCGCGGAAATGTTTTGCATTTTTCAGCTTTCCATTCATTCGCGTGCCTGTGTGTCTGGCAGTGGAAATAAGTCAAGTATATGCCATTTGAAGGCATATACTTGTGGCCACATTGTGGCCTGAAAGCGTGCTTGTGCTGCCCCTCGTAGCTCATGTCAGAAGGGTTATTGCAATGAAATACCATCACATTTATGTTCAGCGGGTTGGATTACCCCTGGGGACTGATTTCTAGCCAAATCTGACGTTTCGACCTAACTCGGAAAATGTTTCTACCGGTAATCAGGAAAATGATGCAGGCGGCACGAACAAGTGAGCCAGGTATTGTTCTTTGCGAAAAGACATGACTGAAGGGTTATTTCAGTGCAAAGACCAGTCATCACCAGTATGCTAGTCGGAGTATTGGCTATCATCCAGGCGTGACCTCTACCCCGTTTTTTCGAAGTTGAGTCAGAACCTCGGATTTCCTCAAGGTGGCGTTTCTAGGGGTTGTTTGACCCCCTGAACACGAATATGATATCTACGGAGAGAGCTGTGAGTCGCGCTACAGGTGCAAATTCACTGCGCCAGCCCACCCGCAAGAAGAAAAACAGTGAAGGAAAACCTCCATAACTCCGCTCAGAGAATCGTTCCGCAAATTTTGAAGGTAGTTTCGAGTTCACTGTGTCAAGACGAGTACAATGATATGCACTCACTGCAAATGGCCAGGTTGTCCTGGTTGGCCTTTCCTGGATGACACCTTACAAACCAGCACAGTTGTGTGGAGAACCTTGTTTCCGGAAATGTTCACGTCTCGTTGCGTTGATACAGATGCAAAACTGTTGCCGCAATGAGGATCCGAACCGAGTCCCGCATTGTCGTGCCATCCAGAATCCATCGTGCTATCCGCTACGCCATCCGATCCGGGGTCATGAAGGGAGCGCTGACAAAAACATCACTCTTGCGTCGGTGCATGCCAAGTGTGTTACCACATGATACTTACATTTTGACTTTAATCGAATATTTGAGGCCTAATTAGTGACCACCTCATAAACTATGCATGCTCGAAGTTACAAGCAGAACGGAGCCCATTAACATTGTTAAAACCGCCCATTCCTGTCAAATTCTTTTCACTCAGTTTTGACCTACCCAGAAACGCATAGCAAAAATGAAACCCATTTTTGTGACCCTTGTATGGACCCCTACAACAAGCAACAAACCATTTCCAAAAAGCGCGCCATGACCTGAAACACCTCCCTTGTTAGAGTATTCCCGAAAACACAACCGGAAAGCGTACCAAAATATGAAGGAGCGTCTAAAATGGTTAGGACTATTGAGCCTCAAAGACAGGAGGTTACTCAATGACCTCACACTTGTTTTCGGATCCTCAGAAGAGAAACGAGGCTAAGAACCTAGCAAGTACTGGGTTTTGGACCTTGTAGTGACAGTACAAGGAGCTTTGGCTTCAGCTACGAAAATTCAAAAGAGACTCTATTTACTTATGCTTATTCTACTTTTGTCGTATGGCCAGGACGCTGGACTGCCACCAGAGTTGCTCAGAGCTGGAAACGGTAAGGTGTTCAAAAACCACCTGATGGAGATCGGATAATATTGCGGACTCGCTTAATTCCTTATTCTAAATGGGATCAATAAAGATGGCAAACACTGAAATGTTCTCTTGGGTGAGGTCGTCGGCGAGCGATTTGTACAAAGAGCACTTCCTGCTGCTACGTTTCAACACTTATGTTTTTAATTCCATGGTAATGGGTGGTAGCCTTCTCGCTCTGCGAATGGCAGTTTTTTATTTTGTTCGTTTTCCTTATCTACGCTGTAGGCCATATGGTAGCGGCTTCGGTTCATAGGGACGGCTGTTCGCCACGATTCTGTATCACCTTCCATGTTTTTCCGTATGCTTGGGCCTGATATGATGAGGCATGCAAGCCCTTTTGTTTTCTTCTATTACCGCTTCTATCCACCATGTCAGTTCCACGAGGGACGTTGGTATACCCGTGTGCCGAAGTGCTGATATGTTCCCATGACTTCCGCTGGAACGAGGGCGCCATAGCCAACTGGTGTGGATCGTTGCTTGATGTCCTTAGAAGTTATGCTTGCATGCGCTGCCACGTTCTTACACGAGATACTGTTACGGATATCCACGTCGACTCAATTCTACCCTATTTCATTATTGATTCTTATATTCCTATTAGCCAGACCGGCATCATTTCGGCTTTTTATGAGTTGACTATTGGTTTTTTTGCACTCATACAGTGTACACCAAATAAATAATTAATTAAATTAGCTGAACAACAACTTTTGAAGCAACAGTTTTTTTTTGTTGTTGCGGACTGTAGATCTATTCTAGACCCGGAGGATAGCCAAGACCAGCGGGGTACTATCTCCTACCAGAGAACTAGAAGTGCGTGGCATGCTAAAAAACGGAATAATGTGGACATTTCTCATCTGTCATGCGTCTTCAATATGACTGCATTTCCATCAAACTTTTTTGCTTTCATCGTTTTCTTTTGATGTGCCTGAATCATAGTTAGGTGCACATAACGTCGGGAGGTTACAGCGGTGTGGTCACACTTTCACCCAATTTGTAGGAATGATTCTGGCAATGGTTTGGATCGAGTTCATCACCTACGCTCTCCCTTCAAGGCTTCATTCGACAGCTTTGAGGATCGACCCACAAACCGAACTTGTCCTGTTTGGCACAAGGTAATTCTAGGAGCCTTATAAAATCTCCTGCGCTGCGGTAAGGGGGGGGGTAGGGTGCAGTGGCCTATGCATGTGTGTGCGTGTGTGTGCGTATCTCTATTTGCCACGAGATTCATAGCGCTGGTCTCACAGAATTCAGTGCCATGATCACATAATCTGAAAGTCTTTTGACCATTTTGTTACCTTTATTCAAGGTGTGGATGAACTGGAGGACTGTACTGAAATGCTAAAGTGAGGACCTGGCCCAATGCAAACAAATGTAAGCCGTATTCGCGAAATCTCTCTGTACAACCTTGTTTCAGACATGGGAACCGAAATCCAGAAGTTTTCCTCGACGAGAATCCACGAACGTGGGGCTTTGAAGGCGACGCTGAACTGACATCGGTGAGAGATCAGCAGTTGCTAATTCGTAAGGAAATTTGATGTTTCTGAAGAAAATCTGAAGAAAATGTTAGGTTTAGAGCATTATTATCAGTGTAGGCTACAGCTGAATTTTTGAGAGCGTTATTAGAGCTGAATTTTTGAGAGCGCTGAACTGTGTGAACACTGATAGACTATTATGTTTCAGTCCACTTTATTCTCTAGCTTGCATATGTTTCAGTATTTTACTAAGAACTTAGCGTGCTAAAAGCATGCACGGCGTTCGTTTGAAACGCAGTGACAATTCAGTCAAAACATCGACAAGGCCGCGGGTCCGATTCCTGGCCAAGGCAGCTCCCATTTTTAACCGCTACCCTTATAGTGCGATTGATCTGTTCCTAACTCTCTTCTCCTCGAAGTAAGGCGATAAAGAGGAGCACCAACAATCGTATTCGTTTTGTGCATGCAAGAGAGCGGTTCAGCATGAGGTCTTATCTGGGCATATGTTTCAGTAGTTCGTTTTCCTGAATTCACCAAGACGAATGGTGAGGACATTATACGTAGAGCATTAAGACACTGCCCAGTTTCCTACGTTGATGTGAGACTGAGGAATAAAACCGAGAAGTCTGATGTAGTCGCACATACAGAATGTGTTCAATAGAACACGATCAATTTTTTACTTTGAGAATCTGTAGTTTATTCATGCTCTAATAAAACGGCTTCAGCATGCACCTTCTTATTACAGCATGAAGAAATTGGTACAAATAAATATAATAAATAAATTGGTCAGTTTTATGGGAGTCATCAGCTTCCATAAAACTGACCTCATTGATTACTCGTGATCGATTTGTGGGATGAATGAGAACAATAAAGTAAGCACTAAAACGGTGTGCCAGTGTGGCTCAAGCTGCACACCCTGAGACTTCTGTGCCAGTCGTGGTTCAAGCTGCACACCCTAAGACTTCCACTAGCTAGTGGTTTCGGACGTTGGTTTGACATGCTCCGTACAGCTTCGGTAGCGGCGTGAAGCGTGTTGTGAAGCAAGTCGCATTTTAGGTAGAGCATGGAGTTAGCCTATTCCGCGGCCCTGAATCCCTTTCTCCGCGCATTGGACGGGGAAGCAGCTACCTTGGAAGCCCGTTAGTTTCGTGGTGGTGCATTATCGCCCTTGATTTCGCTGCGTCTCTGCAACGTGATCCTCCCGTAATTCACCCCAACGGCAAGGATGTCACTGAACTAAGTTCTGTATATCCAAACATGAAGTCTACGGATCACATCTCCTGGTAGGTCTCTTCTCTTACTCGCATATACGTGAATTTGACTTTGAAGATTGGAAAACGGCAAGCTCTTGGATTGGGCAAGGAACTGCGGAAATTTGTGGGCCCCTTCGTCTCAGAGAGCTACAACCGCACGGAGGCGAAGTATTACTCCAGCTCAGCAAATCGTTGTCAAATGACCCTTCAGGTTTGTATAATCATTAGGCACTCGGCGATTAGCAGTTCCAAGACTGACAAGTAAGTGGTTCTGTTGTAGGTGGTACTTGCCGGACTTTACAGGCCAGTTGGTTGGGCGGACTGGGATCCGTCTCGGCAGCTGTTGTGGAGTCCTGTTCCTTACACCATCGACGATCCTATGCTGAGAATGTATGCAGTGAAAGAGTGCACAAACAGCGATAAAGGTACTTAAATCGAAGTTCGGCTTCCTGATTCACCACATCCTGAATTCACCAAGACGATGGTGAGGACATTATTCGGCTAGAGCATTAAGACACTGCTAGTTCCCTACGTTGATGTGAGACTGAGGAATAAAACCGAGAAGTCTGATGTAGTCGCACATACAGAATGTGTTCAATAGAACTCGATCAATTTTTTGACTTTGAGCATTCCTTGAGCATCAGTACGTCCGGAGAGAAGGGGACAGAGAGAAAAAAACACCGGTGGCGCGCACGCAGTGCATGCCGAACAATTTTGCTGCAATGGTGCGGCGAAGGACTGCGATTCGATGGATTGGCGTTTTTTGACCCGCGAACGCCATCAGTTCGTCAGAGCGCACAGTAGTAAACAAAATCGGTAATCGTAGTGGAATGAGCATTTCTCTGTTCCGGATTTTTTTTCGGAGAAATGTCCTACAAGCTCGTAGATTATGCTTTTCCGCTTGAATCCTGCTGTTGTTGGTCACTAATCATTCTTTACTTCTTAGCTTCCTTTTTGTCCTACTGTTGTTCACCATTCATTTATTGACATACCAGGAAGTACATTGCCTCATGTTGTCTTTTCGCTACGTGATCACTGCGGCGACGCGCTCGCCGGGAGTTTTCTGCGGAGCCATTCTGTCCTGATCTATACACCGCCCATTATTGCTTTGGTCGCAATCATGCTTTCAGACCGGAATGGTTGCGCAAATTCATGTAGTAGGGCGGTTGTATCGTGATAGCGCGCCACCGTCTTAATTCTTTGAGGGCGACCAAACGAGGGGTGCGGGACGTATTTTACGGTCGTGTTATGGGATAAGCGCCAATTTGTGAGTATCGAGCAGCGCAAAGGTGTCACATCGCAAGTTATAAGAAGCGACACTTGCTATAGAGGGCTTGGATTTATAAAACATCACAAAATTTTGGTACAATTGCTAACACTATAAATTGGTTAATATGCATTTGGAGGTACTAGATGACCAAGCTGATGCACAGATCCGCTGACAATTTATGGACCCTAATCAACCCAAAGAACACATGTACTTCTTCGAACAAAAGCTGCATGAAAGTTTCATATGTGACCCCCCCCCCTCCTGCATGGGAATTCATCCTCGTGGCACATAAGAGGTGAGGTTCTCAAGCTTCTCGATTTTTCCCCAAGAACACTCTAAGGCAAATGTCTCGTGCGGTGCGGAATATTAAAAGAAAGGAGCGATCTTCTTTCCTTCGGGAGCATAAGATACAGGAAGAACTTTACAAGTACAAAATACAAAAACTCGCACGTGATCAAAATTTTTCCCAAAATTCCTATCAAATCCCATTTTCCGGTACTGAAACCTTTTGTCATTGTTTCCAAATTTACCTAAAAAGCGATGATCTAGCTTTTCACAACTTCAGTCGCCTTTCCGCCAGCGGTGCTTTGGAAAAATGGTAAGGATGCACAAGAATGCTGCGTTATAGGCAAAAATCGAACCTCCAGGTGGATGTCAAACCCACCAGAGCCTCTCACCCTCTCACAAGGAAAGGATGGTTGGTCGAAGTGGCCATTCGAAATGAGATGTATACTGCCCGATGGGCCCTTGAACGCTGATTACAAATCTGCCCTCCATTTCTGCTGAACGATTCCCTGGACAAAGTTATGCAGGAATTTTGACCAGGTCACACCATTTCCAGCATGTATTTGAGGCACACCAAAACCCCCAAATTTGCTAAAATCTGGAATTAGAGGTGGTCTGGTGCTCTGGAAATCATCACTGCAGGTATTTTTCATAAAAATGTCTTGTTCACATTCTGGAGGGGCAGGGTGTGCAGGACCTGCAACTCCCTTGGCGAGCGTTTTTACGCCGAGCAAGTGTGATATTCGTGTTCTGGGGCTCAAATTAGCCCTAGAGAAAGTTTTCAACCAAATCTGAGATTTCGACCTATTTTCGATACAGTGGGGTAACCATGGGCAACGAATTCCTTAAGGTCGCTGGCACTATCGCCGATCAAAATCTCTGTGAGCCATGCAACTTTTCCGCTGAATCTCAGTCCTTATTGGTTACTGACGGCCCTGATCACAAACATGACATTCACTTCTGGCTTCCATGCCATTTGGAATCAGTTTGGTGGCACAACACAACGTAACGAATAATGCCGCCGAAACCAACAATCAAGGGTATCCTTCAGGAGTGTTCAGAATGGCTCCATTCCTTCAGAAACAACATTTTCGGTAAGATCACGTCTCCTAACCCCGCAAAAGTTTTGAGAAAATGCAAAACCACAACTCCAGGAAGGACCCGAACCCTTTTGAATTTGAAACGCCTATTCAATATGCATTCCCTCCAAATGTCATAGAACCCTGTAACACAGCAGAGTGCAAGGAAATTTTTTTATCCGGTGTTCCCATTGCGAGAAACTTTTTTGCTTCCAACACTTTGTTCTGGATTATCACATTTGTTCTTGAATCACAAAACTTGTTTGTACCCACTATATGAGCAAAATAAATCATTAGAAGTGTTCACAGGCGAGAATGGTTCAGTTTTCCAAGAAAAGCCCTATTCATGGCATGACAAGGTTCCCTGATCATGCTAGGCTGTGTTAAAAACTTCCAGAGAGCACTGCTGAAACAATGCAAAAGAGCACGTCCATCAAGGACTCGAACCTCTGACCTCGTATACTTGAGTCCGGCATACTACCCACTAGGCTACCGAGGCACACCGTGTGGCGACTCACGTCTTATTTGTATACCAAGCTCTACTGTGCTCCGTACAACAACCTCCTGCATATCTCTGCTCAAAAGAATCGTTCAGCAGATATGGAAAGCAGATTTGAAATCAGCGTCCGAAGACGCATCAGAGTATACATCTTGTCTCAAATGGCCACTTCGACCAACCATCCTTTCCTTGTCAGCTTAACGCCTTTTATGCCGCAGCCTTACAGTACTCACACGTTTAACATTGTGAGCCGATCAGCCGTAATCGTTAGATATCGACAATGAGCTGTTCAGCCGAACACGTTTCACAAGTTTCACAAGTTTACAAGTTTTTAAAGGTAAAAGCTGAGAGGGTTAGAGCAGCCCTAGTGGCGTAAAGGATAGCGCACTCGCCCGGAAAGCATGAGGTGCGGTTCAACCCAACGAAATAATACCGGTTTCGTTTTGAGTGGCCATGTTGCACTGAGCAATTGATTGTTCAGTAATTGGTCGCCAACCAAAAAAGTCCACGCTTGGTAAGAAAAAAATCGAACACTTCGGTGCCACTTCGGTGCCACTCTAGGCTACCTCTGGAAGTGGATTGACAAAGATGCAGAAGTAGTGGCAGTAAATTCGTCGAAACCCATGAATATTTCATCTTACGGCAGGTTTGATATGGCATGCATTAATTCTGTAGTGCTATGAAATTTTATGCGCTACTTCTTTGAAATTTGGAGCTCTTCTCAAGCTCGTGGTTTATGGTTTCATGAATACGCTCATGCATATTTTGTCAACGCCTTTATGCGTGTGCATACTTTCTTCTTTTCAAAAGGGAGAGAGAGGTCTAATAGGCTCCTCCAGTATCTGTATCGCATTGGTAAAGCATGGTTCCACTTCTGTGCACGAATGGCTCCCCTCCCTTTTCCGACAGATCAATACGACCATCCCTCACGGACGTGAGACTAAATTGACCCTTCCGAGCATCATCTAGAAAACAAACCTTGGGCATACTCGCAAATAACCAACGCTCTTGCAAATACTATCGGGAAAGAATCTCCACGCAAATCTCCGGGTAATAAAGTTCTATGTTTCTTTGCACATTCGTCCGAAGACCCTTTTCAGTGTGGAAACCGATCGACGATGACTTACTACCCAGCTTGGTGGAAGCAAAGAGAAACACTGTCTCTCTACGGAACTACGTGGCCCAGAAAACCGGGTGGAACATGACATCACTCGGAGCACTTGCGGATTTAGCTGACAATCTAATTGAAATCGTTTGTTCCACATTGCACAGTTCCGTATGATTAAGACAATGGTCCTACAACTTTATTCAAGGATATGTACAATGCATCATATCCTGAGTGGCTCCTTCACCCTGAGCTACCTGGTTACGACAGTAATAAAATCATCAGCGAGATCATGGAGTTCGGTTAGTTGTTCAACCTTATTATTGGAACTTAAAGTGTTCCTGGGCCGTGGGCTATGAATTGTGAAGTGAAACAAAAAGTTTCTTCAGCTGAAATGCCGCAGATTGCATGCACCAACTACGCTCCTTGTCGTGACCTGATGGCTGGTGTTTGGCTGCAGCATATTCTTAACACGACAGAGGCTGCTCAGAAACGCAGCTCCCCACGAATTGTTGGATACGCCTCGGTTAGCACATTCAGAAACATATTATTCTTGTGAGAAATTACTCCCATTTGAGCATACTGAAGTAACACTTGCTCTCATGAAGCTTATCGGAATCGAAAAGGAAGAACTAACGACATCTGCTGGTTTCGTTATTGAGTACCGGTGAGTCGTCCAAGAACAGTTACTTCTATCTAACGAGATGCACCTAGCTGCTTCGAGTTAGAATATCGGAAACTTCGGGGAGTTTTTCTGCTTGGGATGTTCTACGTGTAGCCCCAGTGTGTTGTATAAGATTTGCTTACTAATGGTAGGAAGGTAACTGTTGTGAAGTTCGCGGCGAGACATCACACTAATTTTCCGAACTTTCCTGAGTTTGTCCTTTGACCTGTGCGTGCATTTTCGCCAAATGAATGTAAAGGCATTGTCTGAAAATACGTTCACCAATGTTGCAAGTAATGGGAATTGCAGTTCGAAGCCTGCACCATCTGTACGACTACTGGGTCATGACCCCAATCCGATTGACGAACATGTTATCTACAAGGTAAAATGCTGAATGACTTAGCTTTCAATTTTCATTCCTTCATTTTGTCGTTTTAGGCGAACTTAGTGCCGGAGTTGGCTCACAAAGTGGATTCGAATGGGTTTCTATTGCTTGAAGATTTTATAGGATACGTGTCCGCAAAGGTTTGT